GGTAGTGGTTGCAATAAGAAAACTGATTTATTCAGGAACACTGAAAAAGAGATCTTTTAAAAAATTAGGTGATTTGCCAATTTGAGAAAGCCTGGTAGGTAACTTCCTCCTCTTGAGAGAGATAAAGTACCAACTTCTATAACAGATTTAATTCTGAAAATGACAGACTAAAAAGTGAAAAACACTAGCTGTGTGAGAGCCTTATTTTACCAGTGTGGCAGAAAAGACAGCCTTTTAGTCTCCAGATAAGGAACGAGTTGGGGAATGAACAGTACAGCAGTTCCTCAAAATGGGGTTCAAGGACCATCTGCATCAGAATCCTGTAATGAACAAGTTGAATAGGCATATTCCAAGGTCCCACCTCAGTGTACTAAATCTAAATTGGGGGAGGACAAGGCGTAGGACTCTACCATTTTAACACTCGTGCCTCGTGATGCTGATGCACACCAAAGTTATGAGTCACGGACCTACGGAGCATCTCATTTTTAAGATCTCTTTGATTTGTTTACTGCCAGTAGAGTAATGAATCCTTAGTCAACCTTTCCATGGTTCATCCTAATAAATGAAGTCCAATGAGGGTCAAATAATATCCTATTATTTGATGTAAATTAGGGTTTAAGAATGGATTACTAATAGTCCTATTATTCTTTCAACAAATATGTATGTTTTAGGGACCTACTATGTGCCAGGCCCAGACCTAGGCCCTCAGTATACAAAAACAGATAAAATGTTCTCTACCTTCAAGAAGCTTATGAGTAATTCCCCAGAAGCATTTAATAAATACAACCAAATACATTAGCCATGAAATGCATAATGAATTAAATTTATTCTATGTCATGGCAAAAAGAAAAAAGTACCCAATAATTCTGTGGGTTTAAATACTAGAAAAGAGATATATTTGTAGTAATATCTGGAAAGTCACTAGCAATCATGAATGTATCCCTCATGTCTCACTGTTAATGAATTGTTTCCAGCTGAGATCCCAGTAATCTGCAGGTGCTATTTACCGTGTAATTTTAGCATAGGAAACAAGGGTGTAATCAGTTAATAAACAGTAAAGAATTCGACTTTTTTTCCATTGAGCAAATGCCTGGCTCTGGCCAACATTCCTGATGCCTCCTGCCTTGTTCAATAAGAAAGAAATATTCGAAGAGAGAAGGTTGTTTTGTTTATATTCTGCAACTTGCCTCTGGAGCCATTCTAATGAATGCAAAAATCAAGCTAGAATTCCAGACTTTTTGTATGAGCAGCCACTGATTTTTGTCTTTACTATTGTATTACACAAAGGATAGTTTTCCCTCCTACCTGTAACTGAGACTCAAATGAGGGCACTGTGAATAAGGATCCTCTTTCAGGTTAAGCAGAGTTTTGTGTTGTTTTCTTTCTTTTTTTATGGAGAAAATACATACTATGTTCAAAGAATTTTCATATCCAAGCAGTCCTCTTCTAATGAACACTTGACTTATGAATGTCCTATGCTCATCAATGGCCTTTCTTAAGGGCTTTTAAGCTACTCCTACTACCTGTGGAAGCTGGAGTTGTTTCTGCTGTCTTCAGGAGTTTGTTTCTCCCTCAGCCTTCCTCCTCTGAGAGCTTAAGTCCTCACAAGCTCCCATATAGGCACTTTAGAACCGTAACTATGTGAACACATTCTGCTGCTGCCACCAGACACAAGGAGGTGCTGGAGGCCCTGCCATAACCATAGTTGTTGAGCTCCTGAGGGAACACAAGGAGTATGAAGGAAATGCTGGAACTGTAGTTTGTGATGGTGGGGAGATTGTGCATTTGGATTTCAAAGTTCCTTTCTCCTAGAACTAGCACTATACTGTAATAACATACCCAGGTAAAAGGGTTTTCTGACAAATTCACCTATGCAGACCATAGCCAGGCATAGAACAAGAAAGAAATGATCTCTAAACCGCCAGAGAAAAAGCACCTTCCTATTTGGAAAAGCCAATAGACTGCCCATTAATTCTGTTTGTACATAATTCTAATTAGTTTTAACAAGATGTCAAGACTATAGTAGGTTATAAGCAGCACATTTGAAGGGACTGGAAAAGATGTTACAGGTAGATGAAGTAAAATCTAAAAGTTGACAGCCAGAAGAGGGACAAAAAAAATCAGTGTCGTGAAGATTCAGAGCACTGGAACTCTCATACATTGCTGATGGGAGCATAAAATGGTACAGTTCCTCTGGAAAGCTTGGCAGTTCCTTACAACAAATACTTACCACATAACCCAGATGTTCCACCTGTAGCTGTTTACTCAAGGAAAATGAAAACATATGTCCCCGGGAAGATTCATACATGAGTGTTCATATCAGCTTTATTCATAATAGCCCCAGACTGGAAATAGTTTGAATGTGCCTCAACAGGTGAATGCATTAAAAAATTGTGGTATATACACATAGTAAAATAACACTCAGCAATAAAAAGGAATGAACTACTGATAACCACAACATGGATGAATCTCATCAACATCTTGAATGACAGAAACAACAGAGAAATCATACAATCATATTGTATGATTCCATTTATTTAAAGAATGGGAAAATCTAAGCATGGTGATAGAAATCAGAACAATGGTTGCCAAGTGTGGAGGGTAGGACAGAACAACAACTGGAAAGGGCACAAAGGGAAAATTCTGGGGTGACAGAAATGTTCTATATCTTTATTTTGGTTGTGGTTACAAAGGTGTGTACATTTTTCAAAATTCTTCAAACTATATGCTTAAAAATTGTGCATTTTATTTTATGTAAATTATAGCTCAAATTTTTGTAAGGTACAAAATTATAGCTCAGTAAATTTCATCAGGTACAAAAATTTACAAAGGAGAAAAAATGCTTCAGAGAATCCCCCTGCTACAGGATAAGGTCTAAATTCCTTAACATGAAATGGCCCTTATTTAATATCTTTTGGTTCATTCCTTACCATTCCTCCCCACCTACCTCTTACTCTAAACTACTTGTATTTCCAAAAACTGCTATTCTCTCTCTTTTTAAAGATTTGAACCTTTAAACACAATGATCTGTTTACCTGGAATTCCTTTTGGCGTTCCCATTCATCACTAAATCTTTGACATCCTTCAGGACTCACAGAGGTAGCACCTCCTCCAAGAAGCCTTATCCACTCCCAGTCTGTGTGAGGTGCTTTTCCCCTTGCTCCCAGAGAACCTTATGCTTCTCTCTAACAAAGCATTGCTTTGTAATTCAATTGTTGTTTTTTTAAAAAACCCTCAAAACCATAGTGGACTATGACCATTTAGTTTACAGACAAATAGTCTTCTACATATTCAGTAAGCCCTGAGGTAAATCATATATTGTAGACTAATTTCTATCCAAAATAGCTGAAGTAAGTTTCAGCACTCAAAGTTATCAAGAAAACTCTTCTATCTAGAATGACTTGTTCTTCTAGAGTTGCAAATGATTGTGCTTTTGTTGTAAATAGCAGTTCAGGCTTATATTATTAGTGGTATGATAATTTATTTATATTGTGATTTAACTAACTTTCTGTGAGCTTGACCCAGAAACCTAGCTAGACCTTGATTCTATGGGAAAATGCATTTTACATTCCAGTCAAGTGACTCAAAAATACTGCCCAGTTGAATCATGTGCAATAGTTGATAGTCAACCATTTTTTTACATACAAAATGGCACTTTCATATAGGTCAGTGTAAATGGTTTTAAATACAACCCTATAACAAGTTTTAAATTCAACTCTGTGGCAGTCTATGTACTGAAGATTGCCTATACATTCATTTATTAATTTTATATTTAATACATGAATATATTCTGCAAGATACTAATCTTGTACATTAAGGCTATTGGGTATGTACTGAGTAAAGTACTGTTCTAAGCAAACAGTGAATCACAGAATTTTGAAGAAAGTGTATAGAATGTTAAAGCCTTCTTGAGTCCTACCCATTTTTCTTCCAAATTAATCAGAGATGCAGCAGATATGAGCATTTGGAATTTTTATTTTTTGAACTTACACTAGGATGAAAATGCAGATTCATTTATTCATTTTTAACCCCAAACTATCTAGTCTATTTTGAAGACTAATTTTAATAATAGTAATAGCTAACATTTACTGAGTGCTTATTATTACATTCTGAGTACTGTGCTTACCCTATAACTACTTACTGAGTAAAGTACTGTTATTATCCGTATTTACTTGCCCAAGGTTACACAGCTATAATTGGTCAAGTCAGGATTAGAATCACTCTCAATCCTGGTACTCTGTTCACTATTTACCTCAAGCACTTTTCTTAAGCACAAAGAAGCACTCATGCTGAAGGATTGTGATTCAGTTCAACAAGCATATATTTAAACTGTGATTATCATTAGTGAAACCAGACCCATTCACATATAAAACATACTGTATTATGAAGAGAGGTTATCAGAAGAGGACCAAGTACCAAAATGAGTATGTTAGACCACAAGTACTGGAGAAGTCTAGGAAAGGGAGAGAATAACTACACTTTGTCATAACTAACTACCAGAAGAGCATTGACATGAGTGGTACCATCTAGTCATAAATGGATACAGAGCATTCTGGGAACAAACCAAAAGTTCAGTATAAATAAGAATAGTGGGAAAACCATAAATGTTGTATAAGAACATAGATGAAATTCAAGAAGGAGTAGCAAACCCAAGTCTAATTCTTGGGCAGACATCAGTGCTTTGCGAGAGAAATTAGAAATCCATGACTGGGCTCTCTGAACCCCAGAACCATATGGAGAAATGGGTCTTATAGGATCACTCATTAGATATTTGTGCATAAGAAAGGGAATTCAGAGATTAACCAAAACTTTTTGCCTATATGATTGGAATAATAATGGTATAAAAAATAAAAGAATGTTTTATTAGAGAAGAACATGGGCTTGGGCTTTAGATACACTGAATTTAAAGTGAAGGTAGACTGCCTGCAGAAAGCTGTTTTTTCATTTGACTGTGGTTGACCAAGGTCAAACTTTGACTCATTTACTTACTGTTTTTACAGATGGCCCTTCTGAATTTCTTCTTCCCAAAAGAAAAGTCATACTCTGAAGTGGAAAGTAGGCATGTTCGTCGCAATAAAAGAAGCAAAAACAGTGAAGGAGCAGATGGTAAGTCTACTTGGGTGATTCTTTATCACATCTCAATTAATCAGAGTACCCTCCTGAAAACTACCTTCTCAAGTGTGCTTCACCATCTCATTTATTGTCCAAGGCCCAAGGTCACAGAAGAAGGTTTTTCCAGCATAGCCTTCCATTCACCCTTTCACTTAGAACTGACTATAGAAGGATCCTCTCTCCTCCAACACTAGATGCCTTCAGCCCTTTCACAGTATGTCGAAGAGCCATGGTAGCATTTGGATCTCTCAAGACCATCCTCCCATAAGGACATCATCTGTCCTGGGGATATCCCATATCTACTAAGCCACCAAGAAGATTCAGTATTACTCTTGGAATTGACAGAGTGTTGTGCCATTATGGCACTTGCATGATGTGTTAATTCCAATGATATCATGTCAATGTTGGTACCAGCTACCATGGTCAAATGTGAACTAGAGCTTCTAGACCTCATCTGTAAGTTCCTTGAGGTCAGAGATTCATTTCTCTTCATGTAATTCCAGAATATAACTCAGTATTTAGCAAATTGTTGGTGTTGGTAATATAAGCTGATGATGTTGATCGCCCCTTCAGCTAGGTTATGAGGTGCCATGAAAACCATAGAGGGTGAAATAGATTGGAGTTAACTAGCCATGCATTTTGTGAAGTATAACAAAATGTTAAGCTATCTCCTGGGCAGTCTTTGAATTGCTGTATTTCAATATCCTTTTGTCAATTGACAGAATGCTACCTCTCCAGCACAGGAGTTTGTAGAAAACGTCGCTCTGGGCTGCTGCAGATCCATCTGTATTCAAAGATAGCATGTGTCTGGCTACATCTGCCAGATATATGTGCTTTCTGATCTTGTCTCCTTCCCTCTCCCTCTTGATCACAAAGTCACAAAGAAATATGACTTTATAAAGATGAAAATGAGATTTTTAAGCTGACAATTGTCAATGTGCCTAAGGGCCAGCCAGTGGTGGAATCAGTTCCAGAAGGCATGAGCTATTGAGGAAATGGAGTCAGGACATTGTCAGTAGTGGAAAGAAGAAGTAGAACTGGATGACGTCTGAAAAAGAGCTCAGAACAAGGGCCCTGTAATAAAGAGAGAGAGAGAGAGAGAGAGAGAGTGTCAGAGAAATAAGATAAGTAGGGTGTTCTAGACAATGGAGGTGGCAGCAGCATTGAGCCCTTGAATGGAAAACTGTACCAGTGGGACCGTTCTGCAGAGCAGACCCCTTGCACACAAGTGATGACCAAACTTAAGCCTAGGAAATGTGATCTGTGAAGTAAAAGGCACCTGTTATCCACACACTGCTTGCAGTCAGTTTCCTAGAAGCCTTCAGAAGGCTATGTGGAAACTGAGAATGAATGTTCCCTTTCCTCTCCTAATCATCTCACCCTCTGATGCATGTAGGTCTTTCCACCCTTGACTCTTCCCTTGAGGCTACTCCCAGTACCATCAACTCTTTCATATTCTCTGTTTACTAAGAAGGAGAGGAGCGAGGTGGTAAGAGCAATATCACCTTCTGCAGTGAGCATGGTCTTCCAAGTGGGAAGGCTAATTGCCTCTAAAGTTTACCTCTTTATCTGGCCTCCAAAATTTTCTCTTAAAGAAGTCATCTTCTTTCTCTCTTTCAAACCACTTTATCTGGATATGGCTACCAACCTCTGTGTTACTGATTTTCCTTACAGTGTTTATTCTGTTTTGATACAAAATAGTTTTTCTCTCTGGTCAAGGTCAGAGCTTTTCTTATTAATTTTTAGCACTTCTTAATTTGGTTTCTTCCTGAACTTATACTCTAGTCACTCACTAGACTCTAGTCACTTTGTGCCATTGCCAAATTTCTTTTGTAATCCCAGATATTTTTCTTTAATCAATATAGCTGGGAGGAATCCAAGAACCCCTTAGAGTTCAGAGTACAGAATGTCTGGGGATCCTGAGATTTGATTATATTTATAGACTTTCACCTGGGAGGCTATAGAACTACTTCTTTAGATGTGGTGGGTGCTTCAGTGAGTTAAAGGGTAATGAGCAATCCAAATCTCCTTTACTTTGGAACCATGCCTGTTACTCTGCTGAGTTTATGCTATATTTATTCAATATTTTCATCAAATATTTACTGAGAATATATAGAAACTTATATAACACTACAGTGGAAATACCATCAGGATATTTGTGTTTGTTTTGTTTACTTTTACATCCCCATTGCCTAGAAAAGGACCTGGCACATAGTAGAACCTCAAATATTTCTTTTTGCCCTCAAAAAGCTTAAATTCCAGTATAAAAAGACAGATAATAAACAAAATTAGGGGTGATAAGTGTTGTGGAGAAAAATACAGGCATAACAAGAGGGGGGAGGAAATGGAGGGGTGCTGTAAAGTGATTGGGAATGTCCCTCTAATAAGGGAACAATTGAGAAGAGACTTAAATGAAAGTGAGCCATATGAATATCTGTGGAGGTGGGGGCAGGGAAAATACAGTTAAAAATGCTCTGCAGCAAAATAATGCTTGGTATGTTCCAGAAAGATCAGTGTAGCTGGGAGCAGAGTGATCAAGAGGGAAAGGGAAGGAGACAACATCAGGAAGCACAGCCCAGTCTAGAGCATTTGTAGGCCAAGATAAGGACTCTGACTGTTAATACTGTGTGAGATGGGGAACCATTGGAGGATTTTGAACAGAGGAGTGACAGGATCGGACTTATGTTTTAACAGAATCCCTCTGGGTGCTGTATTAAAATAGTTGCAGGAAGAAAGGACAGAAACAGGAAGACCTGTTAGGGCAGTAAAACAATCATCAGGCAAGAGATGATAGTGGTTTAGACCAGGATAAAGGAAGTGTGGGTGGTGAGGAGTGGTCAAATTCTGGATAGATTTTAAAGGAATAGCTGTCAGGGTTTCAGATTGATTAGATTAGGGATATGAGAGACAAAGAGCCAAGAGTAATCCCAGTTTTGGACTTAAGCAACTAGACTAGTAGAATTGCCATTTCTGAGATGTGGAAAAACAGAGGAGGAGCAGGCTAAAGGGGTGTAAAGAAGGAAGCAAGAATTCTTAGGCACTCTAAGTTTCAGGTGTCTATCATACAACCAAGTAAAAGAGAGCTGGATATATAAGTCTACACTGTATGTCACTGTCTCAGGACAGTGAGCTGATTCTGTTTTATAAAAATAAAGAACATCTCATTGAAGAACTGAGTCAATCTATAAACCATCTGAATAGAGTAAGAGGTAGGATGGGATCCATAAATCACAGTGGGGTGAATTAAGGCCAAAAAAAAACCCCTATCAGGTATTTATTCTAAATCCACAAGTTACATGATATAATAAAAATTTAGCTCTCTGGCTCAGGTTTGCATCACAAGTGTCAAATAAAAAGTTGTTTACTTTGAACATTTAGGAACATGACAGAGATTCCAGGAAGAAAACACTTTTCAAAGGTCAAAAATAGAAATAAGTTTTAAAAGAGAGCAGGAAAATCAGTTTTATTTCCTTGTATAAATTTTTTGATCTGTTACTATCCTTTAATTTCACTTAAATTCCCAAAACTTTATTTTATTGTTATTTAACAAGCCTTCTAGTCCCACCAGAAGAAGTATAAAGATGAGTAGGACCTCAGAGAAGCTTACAGTTTAATGAGGGAGTGATATATTTATAGGCAACAGGTAAAAATGAAACAAAGGTAGGGTGGTGAAAATGGGTCCTGGAATTTTACCTTAAACAGCTCCAGCACATAGAAGACACTGAAATCTTTGTTAAGTGAATCACTGAACAAACAAATGGAAGAGAGGAGTCTAGATTTTCTATCAAGGAACTATAGATATTAAACTTGATAATCATTAATCTCTGTTGGAAAAAAAAAGTTTTAACAAATGGTTCATTCACTCTTAGGAAAAGCAAGGAATGTAGTGATCCTTAGAAGCCTGTGTAGGTTCACCAAGAATAAATAATGCTACAGAAGCCTATATTCCTGTTTTTCACGAGACTAGTTACTAAACTAGTTGATTAAAGGCACAACATAGGCATGGTTCTCTTGCCTTAAAAAGAGTCAGTGGCCACATTCAGCATATATCCAATCTTCCTGACCTAACATTCAAGAAATGATTGGATTCATCTCAGTTTCTCAGTTTGGATTATTCTATAAATGAAACCATTGACTAGGAAGCAGGAGTCCCAAACATAGGGTTAGTTCCCCTCCAATATAAATCTTGGCACTTTATAACTTCAACTCTCAGAAAATATAAGTGAGTCTTTTCCTTTACTACATCTTTACCTTAAATTCACTACTCCTGTTTTGAGTCAGCCAAAAGTAGTGGATCCAGGTTTTAAGTTCATTTTTGCTCATTATATGAGGACTTTAGTTGTGTTGATCTGCAACAAAAGCATGATCACTTCATTGTAGGTGTTGTGAGTGACAACAGCTCCAAAAATCTGTGCCAAAATTTCCTGTTGAGACCCATCCTTGTGATGTGTTTCTGAAGTAATAATAGCTCTATATGGCTTGCTTGGTCATCTCTTACAGGATATTCCAGAAATCTGCAGAACCTTATTTTCTAGTTAGAATGAAATATAGAATATATTCAGAGGGCCATGAGGTCTTAGAATTAGAAAACATGAATCTGGAATTCCCATGGAGGTAGTTTCCATTTTTTATAAATGTTATTGTGAAATAATCTGTCCTCTTCCTGTAGAAGCATTTTTAGGAATCAATCAAAATATTAATATCCCTCCACATGCACCTTCCCTCCATGTTTCTGTCCTAGTAAAAGAATAAAAACAAAAGGTACTAGGCTGAATCACAATTTCTGGATCCCAATCTTGATGTCACTGACACCTTAGCAGCCATGTGACTTCGGAGGAGTGACATTCCTCTGAACCTCAGTTACCTTACCTATAAAATGGGGATAATTAACCCTGCTTACTGCATGCAGTTGTAATGATCGAAGTGTTAATGTATGTAAAAATGCTTCAGAAATTATTAACTGCTGTTAGTATGTTGTCTCCAGAAAATGAACA